TTTAGCATTCCCGCCAACGGCTCTCAGCGCCATCGCACCCTACTGCCAATAATACTGGCTGGGTAATGCCTGAGGCCGTCGTTAAATTATTGTGTCGCTGAGGAAGTCCGAGGCGAGTTACGTCTTAGCGTCCTAAATCTTTAATATCCAATCGATTATAATAGTATAGATTAAAAATTAAATAAATAAAATTAAAATACATAAACAAAATGATAATTATAAAATAGCCACGAAATACAAAAACGTAATATCAAAGAACTTCAGTGAAATAAAAGATAAACTCAAATAATGGATACCAATAATAATACATATATCAATACTACAATGTTCAAATATACATAGGAGACTCAATGCGAAATTAAACAAAATAATTAATCAACATAAAAATACAATACAAACCACATGGTTTCAAGTAGTCACATAGCAGAAAATAAACATCTCACGACTATGTTTGACATTGTAAAAATAAAAAAGAAAATTTATTTATAAATAAATATCTAGAACAAACACTAAATATAAAAGAAGATCAGAAGTTTATTCATGATACTAGGAAACCAAACATATTTAATATTTACAATATTGGAGCGCGGTATGTACTGCACGGGAGTCTTTCTCGACGTTGAACAGACGTTTGATCGAAATTGGCACCCGGGTCTTCTGTACAAACTCCGAAAAGTCCTACCTCCTACATACTTCCTCATTATCCGCTCCTATCTTACTGATAGATACTTCAAAGTAAACCAAAATAATGTCTTCTCATCCCTCTTTGCTCAATCTGCAGGCGTTCCACAAGGCAGTATCCTCGGTCCCATCCTCTACACAGTTTATACAGCTGACATCCCAACCCATCCTGACACTGTCATCACCACTTACGCCGATGACAAATGTTTGCTATCTGTTAATAACGATCCTTTAATTGCATCCCAAACTATTCAATCACATATCACAAGCCTTGAAGAATGGTGTAAAAGTTGGAGAATAAAAATAAATTCCAACAAATCCCATCAAATCACCTTTACCCTCCATCGTAAACCTATGACTTCTTGTCTTACAGTATCCTTCAATAATACTCCACTTATTCCTGTTGAGCAAATCCGCTACTTAGGACTCCACTTGGATAAACGTCTTACTTGGAATCCTCATACTAGACTGAAACGACAAGAAACTGCTCGACGTTTCCGACTGCTCCAACACTTACTAGACAAACGCTCCGAACTTTCAATTAATTACAAAACACTTACCTACATAACTATAATAAGACCTATATGGACATACGGAGTTGAGCTTTGGGGTTCCACCAAACCATCGAATTCCTATCGTATCCAATCCTTACAATCCAAAATCCTCCGTAAAATCCTTAATGCTCTATACTTTGTCACAAATAAACCATTCATCAAGACCTTAATGTACCATATGTCGCTGATTTAGCTCGAGCCAGATATCTATCCTTTCATGATAAACTTCAGTCCCATCCAAATCCGCTTGTTTTCACTCTTGCTTCTTCCTCGATTCCTGATGATCCTCCTAGGCGTCTGAAAAGGAGATGGCCTCGTGATCTTCTTACTTAAAATTATTTAGGGAGTGCTACCACTGGGTAGTATCTCTTCAAGCCTGTACATGCCATTATTTATAATTTGCGCATATTTACTAGTTGTATTTGTATACAGTTGTAAATTCCATTAAATAAACAAAAAAAAAAATTTACAATATTTTTCACTTCTTCTTCGATGCATACTATTTATGATCAAGTTTATTTATTTTCAGCCAATTTTAAACTAATTTTTAATTTTGTCAACTTAATGACCACAACATCTCAATTATGACTTTTCGGCTCGTCGAGCCATTTTCAAGTCTAAAAGAAATTTTTCAATTTGTAAAAATAATTTATAATAAATATTCTTCCTACTCTTATAAGGATAACCAGTCACTGAATAGAAATGAGATTGATGCCACATGTGGATGACACATGATAAGGTAATTTTAACTTATTTGAATCATTTAATAAGAAAGAATTGAGTAATAATGATGTTATAAAATAATTAAAGGTGGACAGGACAAGAATAAAAAATTTAATTATGAGTAGACGTATATGATTCGCATAAGTGAAAATGGTAGGTACATGATGGGTATTTAGGTATATAAAAAAATCTTTATTTTTTTAAACATGTAAAGTTTAGATATGATTGTAAATTGAAAAATTTCTTTTAGACTTGAAAATGAAAAATATTTTAACCCTTCCTCTACCAACAATCCTATAAGCATTTTAATTTTAGTTGGATGATAGCATTGAGCAAGCTTATCAAATACCGTGACTCGCCCAATTTTCAGTACAAACAATTTAAGTAAATTATGATTTTAACAAATTGTATAAAATTGTTTTTATTATTTAGACAACATTATTTTAATTGTTAGGTATTTTTTAAATTAATAGCGACTGGTTCACCAAATTAATTATTTTAGATTGCTGAAGATGTTGGCAAAGATTCCCCTGAAACACCCAATAATAAATAGTGATAGAAAACTATTTTGATTATTAATTAAATCGACCAAAAGTCAAACAAATAAGTGTGAGAATTGAAATAGTTCAATTTATCGTTATGATTATAGTAAACAGCAAGTTTCTAAACTTAGCGCTAAGCTCATACATGGCACCATTAATCAATCAGATAGTTCTTAAAATCATCATAAGATTTTTTGTTTCCTATACCCCCAATCGCATCATTTCTGGCATACAGAAGAGGAGGTTGTGGAGAGGAAGAGGTGCAACCATATCCTAACCAGAGTGAGAGGGTTGAGAATCATTCCATGGGTCCGCCACAAAATAAATTTTAACCCGCCCAGGCTGGATTCGAACCGGCTTTCATCCATGGAATTCAGGACGTGTCATTATTCATAGATGAAATCACTGATGATGTCCATGGATCCGTTGGATGCCCCCTTGATCTTTATTTCAAATGCTTACACTGTGGTAAAAATATTACTTATAACATGACCGAAACATTTAATGAATTCAAACTCAACCAAAACCGATATTTTGAAGAGAAAAAAAAATCTTAACTTAAAGGTATTAAATTTATTTATTGTTCACTATATCGATCAAACCAGTAATCTTTATTATTAAAACTGGCTCTTCTCTTTCAAATTAGACCGACGCGTAATCACACATTTTTTCATAAAACCATTCACAAGAGATATTTTCACTTTTGTCCCGTTAGATTGGGTGGGAGAGCCAACTATGTGCCAGTTCGAATACGGCCAGGGCAGGTTAAAATTTATTTCGTTGTTAGAACATTATAAGATTATTTATCTCATAATTATTATTTGCACGTTAATATAATTTCTAATTATATATATACTATAAGATATATACATGGTTTGTAACATCAATAACCTAAACCAATACGAATTGGGTCAGTCTCCCATGGGAGTATTGTATATTTAATCCAATAAATATATTACCATATCTATCCGGATCTGTTGAACAGCCTCATTATAACATAGCTGTTGTTATAACTCAATTTACTTTACATATACTTAGTTTACTCCCTTTCTATATTTATTTATGTTTTAAAATTCAACAATTCAGTACTTAGGAATTTTTCATTACATCTTCATAGCAATGTATATACTTATTTATTACTTATGTTTCATTAATTAGTTATTGTAATAGGTCTTTTGGCCTAATGTAATGTTAATTTGTATAAAAAATATTATAAGTATAAAAATAAAATATGGCAGCCACCCCGGATCATCTCGTTCCTTAATAATATAACGGTCAACTATTAAGTATTCAAAAATAATTTTTCTATTCTATTATTTTATAGCACAGTTTAACTTCCTTTTAATTAACTTTCTTTAAATATTACTGCTATAGACTAATCTCTATCACGTTAATTAATATATGTTTGATCCAAATTCTTTTTTTTTTTTTACTTTCACTTACGTATATATATAGAAATGGTAAGTATTGCGATCGAGAAAATTATTGAATCTGAGTTTTCAACAGAAATACACGTTTTGAGGTACCCTGAGTCGAAATGATCAAGCTCCGAAAAATGGTCTGTGTGTCTGTATGTTGAGCAATCTAGCTTAAAAACGAAAAGTCCTACGAGACTGATATTACGTATTTAAGATAGGGATATGCTTTAGATGTGATAGCAAATTTTTCCTTAAAATCAGCTAACCGGAAGTGCCACTTTATATCAACGCTGAAATACATTTTCACAATTTTCTCAAAAACGGCTCTAACGATTTCGATTAAACTCGGTGTATCATTGTATAATTAAGTGGTATTAAATAGAAATTAGGTCTTATCCCCATTGATGTCACTTTACAGGGCTTAAATGCCCAATGTTCATATACGTCTTCCTCTAAAGTACCTTTAATATGGTTTATTATAAAAAGTTAATCATTTCATATTATTCAGAGTTACGAAAAAATGCTTAATATAACTTTTGAAAGAATTTGATATGTTAATAAAGGAGAAAAAAAAAATAAGAATGCAGAAAAACCTGGGTTGCTATAGACTGTAGCGCCTAAACGAATGTACCGATTTTAATGAAACATAGCTAAAGTCATTTTATCGACATCCTTTAACGAAAAGAAGCTGGATAGAATGTTACGAGAGATGGTAAAATTAAATTCCGAATAACTCAAAAAGAATACACTTTTTTTGGGAATGTTGTGATAAGATGTTTCAAAGGTATTTAAAGTGCCTAAAAAATGAAAGAAGTTCATCGAAATCAAAGCACTATTAGTAGAGATATCGCGATTTTAAAATATTTTTACTTTCACTTTTTTTTTTTTTTTACTTTCACTTACGTATATATGTAATATATAGTAAGGGTAAGTATTGCAATCGAGACAATTTTTTAATTTTCCAATAATAATAGTATACATAATGTAAATACATGTAAGATAAAATATTTTGTTAACAGTAATATCAAGACATAATACGCGGAAAGGAGTGTATGCGGGAGTTGCTTTATTGAGCCGTATAGATGTCTTCGGTACATCCCTCCTGTTGGCAATCCCATTACTGCTTATCCCTTTTATGTTTCCATTTCATTTTATAATCTTTACCCTCTTCCTTCCCCATCTCCAATACCTGAAGACGTAAAGGAGGATCCCAGGGGTGATATTGGGGAGAGCAGAGGCCGACAGTGATAGAGGGGAATGGGGCACGGAGGGGGGCCGGTCGGCCGCTGATAGAAAGGCAGCCCTCAGGTTGGGGATTTGTAAGGGCTCTGTGGAGGGATTGGAGGGAGCCTGCTATCCGCTATCCGCTATCCGCGCCTCATCTCCTTGTTGTCTTGAGGGATTGCTGCCTCGGGATTCCAGCCTTATAGTCTTAGCCGTCCGGCCTCCAATTCGTTCTCCAGCTGTTAATTCGGTCTTAATCGAAGGGGGAAAAGCCACAGCTTCGGAGGTTAAGGAACGAATTCATAGATTGCATTGATAGTCCAGTCAATGAATTCTTGAAAAGGGGGTATAGAAGGAAATGTCGGAGACACATTTTTTGACTTTGGACTACCAAGGAAGTAAACATATTAAAAGTCCCCACTCGTAAGTGATGAGCCACATGTAGAGGGGAGCCTAGAAGGTCAATTTTTTCGAGTTTTCGCTTATATCAGGAAAACTATCCATCGCATTGACAAAAGACGTTCTATAAAAAATGAAACTGATAAAATTTGAAATATGATTGAGTATATACCTTTTTCGCTACAATGCTTAGTTTCCGAGATATCCGTCCTCAACTATGGCTATTTAATGAGAAGGATTTGATCGAGGGTGCGGTCAAATAAATACTAAATTATATAAATAGTATTATATAATTTTTTTGCCGACGTTTCGACCCACTTTGCAGGTCTTCATCAGGGCGTTGGATGTAGCACTGCGGAAGGCAGTTGAAACACTGGTCTTGAGCCAGTTGAGTTGGCCAGTAGGTAGCTCAGTGGGTGAGCACTGACTTCCAGAACTTAAGATCCCAGGTTCGTATTCGACTGATGACTGGAGAGACCCTCCAAGGGCAAACCCAGCCTCTATAAAATGGGTATTCTTAATTCAATAATTAATTTAGGGGGGGGGAACCGTCACCTCCCTGAACAACCGTTGCCCTTGTAACAGTACGTCCTCACACTATACTAACCCAACACCCTTCATGAGTTGTAAGTGGAACAAGTTCCCCTCCTTCTCCCTTTTTACTAGTCTACCTTCAAAGATACAAACGTTAGATGAATTATAACTTAATATGTCAACTCTGAGAATTTGAATAAAAAAATATTTAAACACTCTATACATATAAATCCCTATGGAGATACTTATGTATAGAGATACAAATTATAGGGATACAGAAAACAAAATCTCGTGTTTCTGATCTTTATATCCATTTTCATAGAACTAAGACATTTGAATAGTCATATATTGCCCGATCCACTGCCTTCTGAAATTCCTTACCATCTGATATACGCCATGCCTCTTCTATGTCCTCATTCAAATATGATCTCTACCAATTCCTTCTCACATTCCAAAATGGCGTTGCACAATGAAATAAATATTATGAATAAAATTTTGACTGAGGTGAATGGTTGTTGAAATCGTTGATGAGTTTTAATTTTAAGAATCAACCAATAGTGCTTATAACATTATTTTTTTTTATTTTATCTGATTTCTGTTTTTCTTTGCATTTCAATAATGTTTTTTGTTTTTTTCTTAAATCGTGTTACTTTTTTTTATTTGTTTTAATATACTTTTACTAAATATATGTATATATTCTTTAATTTTGATTAATGTAATTTTTGGCCAGATGTGGTTTTCATTTTTTTGCTCATAATTGTTATTGTTAAGGGACCTCGTTCCAGAATAAAGTTTATTTTATATTCTATTCTATATATTTATATAAAACAACGAATATTATTACAAAAAAAAAACTTTATTAGCCGAGAAACAGCATGCCTGGATCTCCCTCTTCTCCTCTAATGCTACATTAAACTGAGCCCCAAGGTACTCAAAACTATTTACACATTGGAATGTGTAGTTTCCGACTATCGGGGGCCGCCTGAGTTCAGTTCTTCTCAAAACCATAATCTTGGTCTTTTCTCCATCAATCTCAAGGCCTCCCTTTCCAGCTCCTCAAACACATCTTTGACATTAAGTAGAGACCTTCCAGCTATCACATGATCGACATTTGCTAATAATTGGTCCCTTTTGTAGAACATATTGCCATTCTCAACCAGACAGGCTCTTGCTACTATAGTTTGTAGTACGATGTTGAAAAGCCGCGGTGCTAAAGAATCACCATCCTTAGTCCAGAGTTTATCTAAAATCAGCTGGTCAGCTTATCATTAACATTAGCTTTGCTGATTCTACCATTAATTGTACACATTACCAGTCTGGATATTTTTAAAGGAGTCTGTTATCTTATTCCACCTTTATTCTACTATAATACCGTTCCCGTCTCGTTAGCTTCCTCTACTATCCTTTATAATTTTCTGTTCTGCTACCTGGAGTTTCCTATTTTATCGTTCTCTTGTGCACTCACCCTAGCTTCATACTTTATCGTTTTCATATTACCTTCCCCTCTGGTACATTCTCTAATTCTCCTTACTCGAATTTTCCCTGTTAATTTATCCTATTCCCTTTTCTTCTGCTTCCCCAAAGTGTTCATCTTATCGTTTTCTTATTCTCATTTCTTCTACTTTCCCTAGTTTCATATTTTTTTCTGCTTACCTAGTAGTGTTGCCAAAATGAGAAACCGAGACGAGTCTTGGTCTTGCGCAACAGTCTTGAAGCTACCTATCAGCTTATTTCTATAGAAATATTACTATATTTTTTTTAGTTAAGAGAAACCTAACTAATCCCGAATGAAAAATTAGAGGAGTTAAATAGAAAAGTATATTGGTTATACCAATTTTATACATATAGTAACTATAATTGTCAAGTATTAGTAAATATTTCGTCTGAATTTTTATTCAAATAGTCGATTTTGTTATAAGTCTTGGTCTTGGAAGACAAAGACCAATTTTGGGCCACACTATTCGCCTAGCCTTCTCTGTGATTATTTTCTTATCTAACTGTTTGTTCTTTTCATTAGTTTCCGATCTTATTCTTGTTACTTCTATTTTCCACATTCACCTATCTTATCTTTCCCTTCTTCTTTTCTCTTATCCTTCCGCTCTCATCCTGCTAAGTATTTCCCTTATACTGATACTCTCACAATCTTCTCCTATACTAACCCCTAAACTACTGCTTCTCTGTTCCAGAAGTTGGTGGACGACGACGGTAGCATCGAGACTGCCCTGATGAACTACCTGTTCGCCAAGCAGGTCGTCAACCGGCTGAGGTCCCAGGTCGACGTCAGCGACCTCCAGAGGAAGCGCTCGTACTGGAAGCAGTGCGCCTTCAACGCCGTCTCCTGCTTCGGCAAGTAGACTCCGTCGCCATAACAATAACTATAACATTACCCACACTCCTCACCCTCTGTCCCTCCCTCCCGATCACCGGCTGATATATCTATCTTATTATATCGTTATATCATTAAGTATAATAATTAGTAACACTAATAAATGTTGTTAACCTTTAATTATATAGTCAGTTTCTGTTCCCTCATACTGTTCCAAAGCCAGTCCAAATCGCAAACCTGAAAAAAAATAAAAAGCATGTTATAAATGTAAAAAAATAAAATTCATTTGCTGTCATGTGTTGTTTGCTAAAGTATAAACCCTGTGTGTTTTAGCACGCTTTTCTGAGCACAGGAAGGAAGTTCTTTCATATATGCACTTATATTACCACAAAAACATATATACCATGTTCAAAAAACAAACTTAGTAATTTTATTTGAAAAAAAATAATAATATTTATAATATAATTAAAATTCACGAACTTCCTTCCTAAAATGTGAAAGGTTATTCCATACATAGAAAGAAAATATTTCAACTGTAAACCCTCACAATTTCAGTATGTAAATAATAAAATATATAAAATTAGATAAAATATGTAAAACACGAACTTAGCTGGCAGAGTGAATGTAAATAAAAAATTGTGAAAAGTATTTTTGGGATTTATTTATTTTCTAATATCGATATCCCATCAAAAGTAAGTAAATATATTTAGAAATTATATTGAGAAATGTATATATATATTATACAAATGAAAAAAAAAAACTAAAGACTTGTTGAATGTTCTCTAAATTAAAAGGGCTACAACAGGTATGTTTGAAGTAAGTGATTTAGACATTTAAATTGCAGAAAGAAAATTGCCTTAAAAAAAATTGCATGTAATGCATGGCTGAGCTTGACTGAGAAAAGAAAGAAATTAAAAAAAAAAAATCTGCAAAGATTGCTACAGATTTAACTGCACTAGGTTCAACCTTCATATCCTGTATTTTTTTTAATAAAGCTTCAGCAAATTAGAATACACAAATAATTACATAAGAAATACAAGCAAAGCAAATCTCTTCACCTACTATTTTATTTAGTTTAAAATACAAGAATTACGTAAAATAAAGAGAAAAAAAACTAAAATAAAACCAATGAATAAAACAAATAAATTTAAATATCAACGATTGCAGAAATTGGTTTCTAAAACAATTGACATGAATCAAGAAATTTTGTAAATAGCAAAAAAAAGTAATAAAATACTATAATACAACTACAAGAAAAATCATGTTGTATACCAACAATGATAAACATAATAAAATTAAAAATAAAATTAATAAACATTTCAAATATCTGAGTTTCTTTAATACGTTTTATTAATTCTCATGGAAATAAAATTCATTAAACTCAAAAATGCTATCATATATTTAATTAATTATAAATGACACAGCTAGGAAAATTATGATTTGAGATATTATTCACAACAGAAAACATTTGCTTTAAAATGCATGTTTTGTTTTTTAAGATTAGAGGAATGGATTGAATATTACAAGAATATAATATTGTACGAATTACATCTAAGAATAAAGTGTAATCTGATACAAGAACAGTAACGACGCCAACACAATCTATTACAAAGTATCGATTACAGTACCGTTGACCAATTTTCGATAAACTGGAGCTAATAACTTAGATGAAATATGGCCTTCGACTACAAATGGTAGTTGACATAATATTTCTTTTGTTTTTTCTTGGTATTCCTCAAATAACAACGAGCTATTCCTTTTTTATCAGATAAATGCTAGTTTATATTAATTTCATTAACTAACTAAAACATTTATACTAAGTTATTTGCATAATTATTTACTGGAGTATAAAGAAATAGGAATATCTTCTCGTGTTAAACGTATTTAGAATTTATATACACATTTATCGATCTATTTATCTATGGAATCTATTTATAGGCTATCAGGGAATAATAATTAATGTTCAAATAATTTGAAACTTAAAGTTAAAATAATGTCCAGGTAATTAAAGACGGCCCTTACACCGATTTCATTCCAGATATATTCTTGTAGCGTTTCTATATAGGTCTTAAAAATAAACCTTTTTAGTTATATTGAACTTCATATGGTAGAAAAAAAAATTTTTGAACCGATTCAGGTACGCGACAAACATTTGTTCAATAAAGATTCTATTTGCGAAATAAAATTAAAAGTAAATATATTATAAATATCAAAAGTTAATAGGAAGATACACACGTATTTACTTACCGAATCATACTTCCAAATATTTTTTCAACCAGGAAAAACATTTTTTTTTTTCTTCATTAGTTAGTTAATTATCATATTCTTTAAAATCTTATATCGAATAATGCACTATACCACCTTAAATTGTTAATTATTTCAAATAAAGCAAATTAAAGATATTTAAAAAGAAACCGTTTTGAAAATTACGGTATTTAAGCCCTGTCTAAGTCAAATAAAATATGATTCAATAATACAATGATAGAACAAGTTTTATCAAAATACCTTGCAACTATTTTCAACATTATCGTTAGGAAAAAAAAGGTGATGTAAAAAACAGTACTTCAGTTATGGCGATTTCATTTAAGGCATACACCCACCTCAAAAACGTAATTTTAGTTTTGTCCGACTTTTCGTTTTCGAACTAGACAGTTTACATACACACGGACCGTTTTGCGGACTTGATTTTCTTTGGAATCGGGACCTTAAAACGTAATTTCTATTGAAAACTTGGATACAAAATTTTTCGCGATCGAAATACTTTTATAAATGAGTAAAAGTACTAGAAACATGAGTGACTAAGAATGGTTGAGTTACTCTTCATAGATTGAAATAAATGTCATATTGTTTGTCGTACAGACCCCTTTTTATCAAATTATTAACATCCGCCATAATTTTTGTAAATTGCTTTATCTCATCGTAGCCTAAAAATATTATATTTAAGAAAATTCTCATAAATAGAATGAGCAGCAGCTGGAGAACGTCATTGAAAACGTGCATTTGAAATGGAATGAAATGAAATTGAAATATTTTTATTATCCTGGGACTGTTGTCCCTTTAGAATAAAGTATAAACACTGAGAAAATGCCTATGTGGCCATACCTTTAAATTAAATATTTTGAAAATAATATCTAATTAAAAATAAAAATAAAGGAAGAAAATATATATACACATAGACTAAACAAAGGAAAATAAAATAAACAAAGGGAAATAAAATAACATGGTTTCTGGGGGATCTTAAGAAGTTCTCTTATGTACATTTCGTGATCAGTCGGATCGGAAGAGGAGTAGGTGCTTAAAAAGGAGAGATTTAAATGATAAAACTGAACCGCTTGTGCATGTCGGAAATCGGAAGGGATAGAATTCCAAAAGTAGGCGGCTTGAATTGCAAAAGATCTGTCAATCGCAGTAATTCGGGGAGGATGAGGATAAAAGTCAGAAGTACGGGATCTGGTGAGACGGGATTGAATGGAGGATTTGAATTGTACGCTCTGGAGAATATCAGAGGGTCGCTGACTTCTGACGGCCTGGTTTAGAAAAATAGCAAGAAAGTACTGACGGCGGTAGGATGGATAGAGCCACTTCAACTCGGTCTAATACTCGGTAATATGCGTATCTCTTGAGATCCCGTACATAAAACATTACTTCGAGTTCCCCCGAGAGTCCACCTTATACTATACAACCATAGTCGAAATGGGGGAAAACAAGAGAGGAAACCAGGAGTTGGCGGGTTTTGTATAGAAGTAGATAGCGTCGACTGTTGAAATGTTTTAGGGTAGAAATAGTACGTTGAGAAATTTGTGGTTTCCAGGAGAGGGTTTGATAAAAAATAACACCAAGGTTTTTGACGGAAGTTTGGAACGAAATATGTGAGTGGTTTAGGAGAAGATTTGCATTCTAATGTCCTGAGGCGAATCTCAGGAGGGCTACCGCGCCCTTCGAAGGCGAAGCTAAAAATATTTGGAAATCAATCGTGGAATTTCCGAACATTTATTTAAATAAGACTTCGATAACCGAAATACTTATGCATGAATAAAATATTCTTCATTTGTGAACTTTTGTTTATTCCGAATTAATCAATAAAATTAAAACCAGAACATTTTATTTTTTTTTAATTATTTTTTAAAAATTATTTTCCCGTATACTCCTGAATTTTGGCCCGTTACTAACCCTGTATACTTCATTTTTGACACTATGAGTATAACAAAAATCAGGATTTGGAGTTTTTATGTGGTGTATTTGACCTACTGTTTTTTAGACCCAAGATTGATTGATGACCCAAATTATCAGGGCTAAATATAAAAAAATCAGAAAAATGAGATATAGATAGAAATACGTAAATGAGCCAAGATATAAAGATGGAAAGCGCCTATGAGGCAATGGTGATTATATTACTATTATATATACTAAACCATCACCTCATGTAAACTTTCCAACTTTGTATCTCGTCTTATTTACATACTTATGATCTTATACTCCCTTTTTATCAAATTATTAACATCAACCAGAAACTTTGGAAATAGCTTCATTTCATAGTAAACGACAAATATTTTATTTACGAAAATTCTCAGAATTGGGGCGATTTCAATCTAGAGGTTGGCAAACTTTATTTAATTAGGTATTAAAACCTCATGAATACCCGTTGGCTTTCCACATGAATCGTAAGTTAATATGATAAAAAAGTCGAAAAAAAAAAAGGTGGCCAACAAAAATACTGGTCCGTTTGGCGTGACCTCCACCCCGAAAAAGTTAAAATAACGAGGTTATATAGGCCAAATGTCCCAATATTTTTGTAGACCACATTATTAGCTATTATTCATATTAGCTTACGATTAAAGTGGATTACGATTCTCGATATTACGATTTTTATAGTTTATTGGTTAGTCATAACATTGCATAGCATAATAAAATTTTTAACGACTTCATCTATTTCTAATTCGATTTGGTGCTGCCTTCAACACCATTTATAGTAATAGAAAATGTTTGGCAATCTCCAGATTAAAAACGCCGCAATTCTGAAAATTTTTGTAAATAAAATATTTGTAGGTTATGATGAGGTGATGCTATTTACGAAATTTCAAGCAGATGTGCATAATTTTATAAAAAGCTAACTGTACCACGAACTAATAACTATTTAACGCAAGTTACAAAAAAAAAAAATATATATATTCATTATATGGGGGCTGAGGTAGCCATGGACTAAAGAACTTGCAATAGGTAATCAAAGTTAAGCAACGCCGAACGTTGCACTTGGATGGGTGACCGCCCACACCAAGGAAAGCCACGCTGTCCGAGATTCTCCCCCTTCGGCTATGTGAGGCCCGTCAGCCTATTGAAGGCAACTCACACCGACCGGGGCATAGGATTGATGATCCTTTAAATCGGGAATCGGAATGAGGCCACATCCCGTGGTCCCATTGTTCTTCAATATTTACGTTTTCATATTTATTTTTTATAAAGAAATGTTATTAAAAAAAAGAAGTGAACTGAAAAATTCTTCGTGAATTGAGAACCATCATATTGAAAGAAAAACAAAATTTTATTGTTAATAAAAATAAATTTAAAACTTATCAATAATCTTAAATAGTTTGGTATTATCTATTCGATATTATATTTTATTGGAATAGCCTGTCACAGAT